TGACTCAGTATCTAAAACAGAAGAAGAGAACCAATGGCCTTCCAAATATTGCTGAATGAGGGGCATTGATTTGGGATGCTGGGATGTAGCAATAATAAGGCCCTCAGAGTTCCTGAGTACCCCTCCCCCTTGATCTATCTAAAGGAATGGAGACAGGGTCATTTTCTACCCGGCACTGAGCATTGGATATGAGGATCTTTAGAGCCTTTGGTTGGAAAGCTGACCTTTATCTGGATGAGATTATTCATTTCATATATACATTCATGCATCCCAAAGGGCTCCTCTAGCTACTTCCGGGCTTCAAATATGCTTGGCTGTTGCTTAAATCATACTTTACTTTCTCAGCCTATTGCTGGGTGTAAAAAAGAAGGCTCTGCTTTAATAAGTTGCATCATTAAAGCAGCACGCTCTTAATGTGATTCTTAAAGGTCTGCTACATGCAGCTTGAGATCACAAATAGAGGTGCAGCTTTCTAGGCCTGTTGATGGCTCCAAATGTTTTTCCAAAGCATCCCAATGTGGAATGCACACTGTTTCCTTGGAAATGTTTCCTTCTATGTTCATGGCAATTCTATCAAAATTTTCCAAGTTAAAAAATAACTATATTTCTTCTCCATGGTTGTTCTGGGAATTATCCCATCTCTTTTCCTCCACGAGATGAATTGCTTTCTGCATTTTGTTTTTTAAAAAATCTCACTTTTTAAGTTTGGAAGTTGAGTCAGAACAACTGGACTTCTTTTCTTTTTGGTTTGAAACATTTCACTGCTTATCCAAGTAGCTTCTTCAGTCATATACTCGCTTTATAAGCAAAGTTAGATGGCATTTGACTACAAATGTAAAGAAAATGTTGAACTTTGCCAGAAAATCTCTGCAGGCTCCCACTTGTGACCTGACTGTGAACTGAAATGATGACTATTCTGTCTTGCTGCTGATGCTGATTAACCCAACTGCTTTTTTAAAAAAATTTAATTAGAGGCGCCTGGAATATGCCAGACCTGAGGAAGTTACTTCAAAAGCCCGGAGGAAGATATTTCTTTAAAGAATATTTATGACTTCTGGTTTTTTCAACTTAGAATTTTTATAGTCTGTAATTCTAAAATTGCATTCCCCACCCTGTTTCCTCATGTTCTGCTGTCTAAATCCTTTTCCTGATTGTTGACTCTAATCATCAAATTAACTCCTGTGAGATACACATGCTAAAGCCAAGGGCAGTGGGCACCCATGGGAAGCACCCGTGCCTGGATAAAGTGTCCCTCAACAAAGCACAGAAACATTCTCAGAATGTAACTAAAAGATAAAGGTCTTTAGAATTTGAAGTCTGCTCAGCTTCTGGGATTATATTAATTAAGTCATGCTTAACTGTAATTCTGTATCATATTTATTAGTAGCTTATTGCGCTTTTGTTGCATTGACTGCAGGAGTTGCTTTTGTATAACAGTTAGAATTGCCTTACTGAACCAGTTTCTACATTCATAAATAAAAATTAATTAATAGAATTGGAGATTCAACCTACAGGAAGGCAAATTGGATACAAAAAAAAAACCACCTTTAAAAATCCCATTTAAAATAAGATCTTACTTCAATTCAGTGTTTGAAAAGGATCTGCAGGGATAGCTTGGTTCCAGATTTTGGCCACAAAGAATAGGCAAAAGGCTGAGAATGAGGATGAGGAAAAAAAGCAAAGGAAAGAGAAAAGAAATAAAAAAAGCAGAATTCACACTTAAGTGGCTGTCCCTTAGAGGTTAATAGCCATCCAGTCATGAAGCTTAGTGGATGTTTTAGGCCATGCTGTCCTTCACTGAATAATCTACTTAACAGAATAAACCAGTTTCTTAACTTAGCAACTTTAAGACGTGTGGACTTCAACCACAGAACTCAAGACTGACTGGGGAATTCTGGGAGTTGAAGTCCACACTTCTTAAAGTTGCCAAGCTTGAGAAATCCTGGAATAGATACATGGCCAAACTGGAGGATGGATATGCCAATGGCTATGAGTGACCTCAAACGACTATGAATGAATAAAAATAAATAAATAACATCCTTTAAGCTGTATTTACCCTACAAACAGAACTGTAACATTTCCTGCAAGTCTGGTTTCATTCTTCTTCAGGATGGATATGCCAAATGACTATGAATGAATAAAAATAAATAAATAACATCTGTATTTACCCTACAAACAGAACTGTAACGCTATGGGGGCATTAAAAGACTTCCTGCAAGACTGGTTTGATTCTTCAGCATAAAAGTGGAAATGTGGGAAAGAGAATCTGAAAACAGCTGGTACAACGTTGTGCAGATGATTAAATATTTTCTCTGTTGATTGATTTTCTAGCTCAGCTTGAAGCACTACTCTAAAAATTTGATTTAATTGTCCGAAATGTAATTTGTGAGCAGGTTGCTAAGCCATTTTACTTTTAAAGATTCCCTTGTTCAGCTGATGCTCATCAAAGAATGCCTACTTAATTGGTCATTGGCTTTCTAATTGTTTACTGGTAGTCCTGAATTTACAACCACAACTGAGATTGGAACTGCAGTTGTGAGCTGTTGCGGTCATTAAGTGAGACACCCAGGTGACTGCTTTGCTCAATAATCGCATTCCTAGCATTTGTAAGCGAGCATGCAAGCGGTTGCGCAGGGTGCCTCAGAGAGTGGGCCAGTCCCTGGGAGGCCCAGTGCAGACCATGCATGAACTGGAAAGGTGCTGCAGTGTGGTTCAAAGCTTCAGCTGCCCCAGCCTGGCTCTGCAGTGCAGTTCTTGTTGGTGGAAGCACTGGGCCTAGGCCTGAAGTAGGGGCCTGGGGTCTTCGGCTGTCTCACTCAGCTGCCATCACCCAGGCCTCAATTTCAGCTCTAGCACCACCATTGCCTCTAAGGAGCGCTTCCCAATTCCACATATCTGCCTATGTTTCTCCTATCTAGGCCATCAAGCAGAAAAGTCCTTGGCTTTAGGACCTGCTGCAGTCTCAGACTGCTGCCACTACCCAGGCCCCAACATTAGTCCTAGCATCACCATTGCCACTCAGAAATGCCAGCTCACATTGTTCTCCAAGGCCTCTGACCCTTGGGGAATAGTGTGATTGGCCCCATCACCCAGCACTCCTAAGAATCTGCCACGCATAGTTTACCTTCAGGTGTTTTTCTCCTGCTGTTGACATGGCCTATCCAAT